ATTCATTATGGCTAATTTTCGGAATGATCGTGGAAATCCTGACTTTGACTGCTTTTTAATGTTATTTGATAACGAATTTTCTGTTCTCATATTAACGAATTCTATATAAAGTGTCTGAATTTCGGTGGACTTTATTATACTATCGGAGACTTGAATCAATCTTGCAAAATCCTCCAGATATGGCGTAAAACTCCCTGTGTCTCTAGGATGGGCTGATGTTCCCCTCAGTAAACGATTTCTTGGCATCTTAGTAAATATTTCTCCTCAAAATCTACAATGCAAGTGGTTAAAAGAATTGTTATATTATGGTTATGCCAAACGTTTTGTAAGTATTACAAGTTAACTCCTAGAAGCACAACTTCAGTTTCCTTAAATTAATGAAATAATTCACAAGGCACATTTTGATTTTGCTTAGGTCGTCTAAATAAGAATGTATCAAAAGTTGAAAAGTACTTAATGCCTACTATGTCAGACCTGATGGCGATTAATCAACATGCAATTGAATCATAACATGGTATGAAACGACTCTCTGTATTCTTGGAGTCCTGATAAGCAATTATTAAAACATAAAATTAATTGAAGAATGTCACCATATGATTTTATGTAAGTTTTAAACACATTTGTGTTATCAGTTCGCCGTTTAAACTAACTCGATCAGAAACAGTAAATATGAACTGCTGCTTAACTCATTTAAGGACTACAGATGTAATACCACCAAATCACAGTACGTCACATCCGGTTGCATGCGTAAAATAGTCGAACAAATTATTCTCTTGAATTTGACAGTTGTAGGAGATTAATCCTACACTTCATTGCAGTAAAACAATTCAGTGTCATAGACATATATCTTGGGTGTTTCAAAGCACCATTATTTTTTGGTGGTTTTATAGAACTTTTGAAAACTTGAGGTTACATGGTTACCGAAGCTTGTACACAGGAAGAGAAAGGTGAACATTTGATTGCTTTACTTCCAATGATGGTTATTTTCTTAAGGCAATGAAACATTATGTGAATTTTTGTCTTTAGGATTGGACAGGATAAACTTTACTCATGCCAAGTATTTCTTTTTTTTTGAAGCAAAGATAAATTCTGCACAATTTTTTGAAAAGTGCAAATTTAACAAACACTAATAGGGGAAAATCAATGATGGTATTACACTTGATTTGGGAAGCTGCACATTCATGTACGCTCATTTATTAACATTTATGCTATTTAAGTGAAACATTACAAAAATGACGTATTTTGAATGAATTGAGTCTCAAAAGCACATTTTATTAGAAAATTACCTTAAAACAGGCTCTACTGTAAATATTAATAGACAGAGCAAGCCATAATTTAAGAAATAGACATTTATAAGTAAATGAAATTATTTTTGAAGGATTTACAACTTTTTCACTAAAAGGGAAGCTTTTTATGTCCCTATATGGAACGCGGCGTTAATTTTAAGTTTTACGTAAAGACTTATTTAAACCTCCATTGAGTCAGTAAATTTTCCTATGGATGGTTTTATGGATGGTTCATTCAGCTTGAATACTTCAATTACTTATTTATTGTCATATTTCTTTCATAAGTGAGTAAAATATACCCAAAAATTTATATTTATTGGCCTAAAAAGTTTCAATTTTGAGGAAATGAGAGGTATAAATGGATTAAAAGGGACTTTATAAAGAAGACAAATGGGTCCATTAGTGGTATTTATCATCCTAGAGTCATCTTTTGCATCATATTCAACTATTTTCAGGCAGATGAGATAAATATTTGATCGTTTATTCCCCCTATATTCTATCATGATGCTGCTTGATTTGGATTTTTCGAAGAAATTTTGTTCAAATCGCTTTAGATGTCGTATTACATCATACCAGATTTTCTCAAACTATTGAACAGATTATGACAAAATTTGACAGTAACGCTTGAAATAACTAGTACTAGTATTACAAAGGAAAAAAATCACATTCATTTGATTCATTTGATTCAACAGAAAAGTCTTCATTAGAAGTAAAACCTCCAAATTGTCATACGTTTTTTCTTATACGGTAACGGTAACCGTAAGCCATACTTCATATTTTTGTTGTACATAAGCCAATTGACGTCTCGAACGATTATTTGTATAAAAATTTGTCCATTTATGTTATGGTAAACGTGGCCATAGTACGTTATTAAATGTTTTCATACACCGCAAGAAGATATATACTGTATATAAGCCAATTGCCATCTCGAACGATTATTTCCATATAAAAGAGAGATCTGTATCAATAAAGTGTGTTGAGGTTTGTCATACACTGTACGAAGATCAGATTTTGTTGCATTACTTAATCACTAATTTAGCATCCGGGAGGACATTGTCGTCCCGAAACAGCTGGTCGTCCCGAAAAAGCTTATCGATCCCCATCTTCGGGACGACGACTTATGCTTCCGCACGATAATTGTCACATAAAAATGAAAATTTATAAAAGTATTCAGTATTGGTTTGTCATACACTTTGAGAAGGTCAGTTTTTATATTTCTTTTCGTCCATTTATTTTAGAGGAAACTTTGTAACAGTAAGTCAATTGAATGTTGTCATCCACCACGAGAAGGACAGTTTACATTGTGTGTCTAATTTATAAACTACAACATATTTTTCATTGTACATAAGCCAATTGATACCCGCTTCTTCGGGACGAGTTATGCTTCCGCACGATAATTTTCACATAAAAATACACCGCGAAAAGGTCAGTTTACATTGCGTGTCTTATTTATTAACAACTTCATATTTCTTATTTTACATAAGCCATAGGTGTTTCCAACTATTATTTGTATAAAATAGAGGGATCTGTAACAATAAAGTTGTTGAGGTTTGTCATACACTGTGAGAAAATCAGTTTATGTTGCATTACTTAATCATGTATTTATCATCCGGAAGGTAATAGTCGTCCCGAAACAGATGGTCCTCCCGAAAAAACTGGTCGATCCGCATCTTCGGGACCAGTTATGCTTCCGCACGATAATTGTCATATAAAAAAGGAAAATTGAGAAAAGTATTCGGATTAAGTTTGTCATACACTGTGAGAAGGTCAGTTTATTTATATATTTGTTATCGTACATTTATATTATGGGAAACTTTGTAACCATAAGTCAGTATAATGTTGTCATACACCGCGAAAAGGTCAGTTTACATTGCGTGTCTTATTTATTAACAACTTCATATTTCTTATTGTACATTAGCCATAGGCGTTTCCAACGATTATTTGTACAAAATAGAGGGATCTGTACCAATAAAGTTTGTTGAGGTTTGTTATACACTGTGAGAAAATCAGTTTATGTTGCAATACTTAATCATGTATTTATCGTCCAAAGGTAAGACATGTACTGATTGCTGATATTTTTTACCAGTACTGTATATTTAGTGGCATTAAAAGTACATGTAAACGCTATGTAAATTCCTGGTAGTGTATTTATTTTTGAGAACATGTGACAACAATACCAAAACACGGTATGGACGTGCATCACTGCATAAGTTGTTCTAAAGCAATTCGTAAACAATGTCCTTACAAAGAAGTCAATAAAACATTGACAAAGAATTTCCTTTCATGACCTACAACTCAAAATCACCAAACCCCAAACCAAATATAAAATCATTCGTTTTCAAGGGAACCAAGAAAATATTTATGTAAAACTTTCTTTGTGGATACAGTGGTTGAATTTTAAAATATCGGCTAACAGGAAGTTGATGCATATCAGATCTAAAAAAAAATGCTTCATGTAAAATATGTAAACTTTTCAAGTTTAAAAAAGTATTGTCGTGAGGCATTTTTTAAAGGTAATAAAACATTAGTTCAAATAATTCATTATTAAAGAGTTCAATGAAAACAATGGTAGTCATAAGAGTAGTAAAAAGTTACTGACCTGATATCAATAAGACTTCGTGCCGATTGATCTTCCTCCTTCTTTCAATCGATTTAAATGATCGACCTTCCTCCTTCCATTTATGACGTTTGACATTCTTCCTCCTTCCTTTCTGACGCAAAGGGAAGGAAGGAAGGAGGAATGTATCCTATCAAGAGGAAGGATAAAGGTGTGTGGCACCAAGAGGAAGGCGGAAGGTCTGCGGCGAGAAGCGGAAGGAGGAATATGTGTTGTGATAAGAGGAAGGAGGAAGGTATGTGGTAACAAGACGAAGAAGGAAAAAGAAAGGAGGTAGGTGTGTTTTAGGAAAAGGAAGGAGGAAGGTTTGTTTTAAAAGAAAAAGGAAGGAGGAAAGTGTGTTTTAGGAAAAGGAAGGAGGAAGGAACACATCAACTACAAGAGGAAAACAAAAAGTGATATCAAATGAGCATGTTTGAATACTTAAAGCGTTTCATAACGTTACAGACTGCAGCACGTACAGAATAATGTCAATTAACTTTCGGATATATTAAAGGCAATTATTTGGCCTTTTCGTTAACACCATTATCATACTTATATTCCTTTTTTTTTTAAATTAAGCCCAAAAAAACAGTTATCGGACATACTCCTTTATTCGCAGATATTATTTCTCTATAAAATTAGTTGTTGTATGAAAAAAGATACATTAGCTATTTTACATTTTATTTTAAATTTCTTTCCTGAAATCTCCTCCTCTTTATTTTCTGAAGAAAAAAGAAAAGGAGTGTATAAATATGCTAAATTGTGTTTCAAAACTTTTGGTAATTTGTACAAAGAAACTATTAACTTGTAGCACAATGAATCTGATGCTAATAAATTGGTTTTGGAAACAATTTATTAACAGTTCTTGACATATTCCTTTTCTTCTTTGCATTTATGCATTGATACACTAGATGACTCAAGAAGTCTTTAGGGATAACAAATATATACATCTATAACAGAGGAGTTGGATTATTCCTATGGTAAGATCAATCTCGTACTAGTTAAAAATATTTTTCTTAATCATCAATATTTACGTAGAATTTTTTTCAATTGAGAGAAACATATATAAGTCTTGATTTGAAAACAGATACGACCACCGATTATTAAAAACAGTGTTTACCTCTTTCTTTTGCTTCCTTCTGTTTGGTTAGTTTTCCTAAAATAAGCAAGTTTAAATATGCATTACATCCCGTCTAGTCTTTTAAAACTTTAATTATCTATCTGTAAGGATTGGACAAATCATTTTATCAGCTTACTTTAGCTGGTTTGGTTTCGTTTGAAATATACTGATAGTTTACTCATTGTAAAGAATGGTATAAAGTTAAATCACAAAAATACTGAACTCCGAGGAAAGTTAAAAAAGGAAAGTCCCCAATCAAATGGCAAAATCAAAAGTTCAAACACATCACACGAATGGATAACAACTGTCATATTCCTGACTTAGTACAGGCATTTTCTTATGTAGAAATTGGTGGATTTAACCTGGTTTTAAAGCTAGCTAAACCTCTCACTTGTATGACAGTATAAATTAGATCGTTTTAGTTCAGTGTCCCGAAGTATTGTAGAATCGTATTGTTTTACTTCATTCATTTAACATAATATTCTACTCAGTGGCGATCAATTCATAGACATATAACATTGAAAGTATTATGACCTGTCTCATTTAGATTTCTTTATATTGTTGTCATTATTTTTTCAAGCTCTTGGTACATACATTATATGTATATGTTGTTTTGAATAAAAGGCAAGAAAAAGAATTTTTAAAACTCACATAAATGTCACACAATATTACTCTGGTTCTAGAATTATTAAATGTTAATTAACTTACTTTCAACAAACATTTTCAGGTCTGTAACTGTTGCTGAAAGAAATGTGAAAGGTTTTACTAGTACTCTTAGGTTTTTACCCATTTCATGTAACAAGATGAATCAAAAATGCGATTATATACGTGACCATGCAACACTCAATATTTTACACAACTCAATCAGATAAATGACACAAGTAACTTCATTTTTTGAAAATGCCGCCAAAATTAATAACATCATACAACTGTCTTTCTTAATATTAATACCGAAATATCAGCTCTTTTCGTATGGTCTGTATGACACCACAAGAAGTTTTGACAACAAATCTGAATACGACTTTAGAAATGATTTCTGCGATCAGAAATATTAAAATCATATTCTTTTCCACATTATACTATATGTAAACAGGTGGATGGATGAACAGATCATATCATAAATCGTGTTAAAGCTGTTATATGAAGTTCTAGTAATATTAAGATTTGAAACAAGTTTAATTATCTTACTTTTAGTTTTAAAGACTGAACTTACTACGTAAGTGGTACTATCTTCGTTGTAGGGCCTTTATTTTTTCCTTTGGCATATTTTGGTTATAAAAAGGACCTTGTATATTCAGTGCACAAACATGGCAATGTTGACAGACACATAAAATATAGGGAATTTTGCGCAATCTGCTTTCTTGTGGTGTAGTTTTTATATTGTGAAGGTAGTCACTAAGTAATAGTAATGAAACATCGAAATCGTCCCTATGGAAACCAATTGCAGATCGTTTTGTCGAGATAAATGGGATTTTCTCCAAAACAAGCATATGTTACAATAATGCAAACAATTCTACCTATATGTTGTTCTCTTATTTCATTCTTCAGATCTTGGCCCTGAAAGAAATCAAATAGAATTAGTTACAATTAAAACAACAAGTCATATTGGAATACTAATCCTACACTGAATTATTAAATTGACGTGAATAGCCACATAATATTCACTTTAATTAATAACAGTGTAACTCAAGTCATATAGGAAAGTCTATGTAATAAGTATCAACAGATCCAGTAATATATAAATATACCTACCAACTCTTCAAATTTTGCTTTAATCCAAGATTCCATGTTCTGAAAAAAGAAAGAGTAGTTTAATTGAATATTTAGAATACGATTAGGTTTACAAAAAAATAAATATTTGAAGACACTCCACCAATATTTGTTTAAGTGAAACGGTATGTAGTAAACTAAAAATGCCTTTAGTTTGTACACCATATTCAAATTCATGATCACCATGTAATGTAAACTTCCTTGTTTTAAGTCGTAATTCTTTACTTAAAATTTGCAGTTTCCTTAATCTGTTGACAGTTCTCGGTTCGTTGTTTTCATGACAATGTGTAGATTTTGAAGTTTTCGTCAGCAAGATTAAAACGACAATAAAAAGTTAAATCACAAAAATACTGAACTCCGAGGAAAATTCAAAAAGGAAAGTCCCCAATCAAATGGCAAAATCAAAAAAACAAACACATCAAACGAATGGATAACAACTGTCATATTCCTGACTTGGTACAGGCATTTTCTTATGTAGAAAATGGTGGATTGAACCTGGTTTTATAGCTAGCTAAACCTATCACTAGTATGACATTTGTGTGCTTTGCCTGTTTAATTTCATTGATTCATATGTCCTGGAATATGTTTGTCAAAATCAAAAACAAAAATTATAGTTGTCAAACTTCTGTCAGCGTCCTTCTCGTCATCATAATCTACACCTCCGGACGCAAGATTTACGGATAGCGTCACGATAAAGTGTTTTACACCTTTTTACATACTTTGGACTTATTCTTGATAGTTATTTATGGATGTACTGAAAAATGACAAAGCAATTTTAGTACTGAAAAATGATAAAAAACGTTAGTACTGAAAATGACTAACTATCAGATAAAAAAAATGCTTCAAATAATCTATTATGAAAGAGTTCAATGAAAACAATGGTAGTCATAAGAGTAGTAAAAAGTTACTGACCTGATATCAATAAGACTTCGTACCGATTGATCTTCTGACGTAAAGGGAAGGAAGGAAGGAGGAATGTATTCTATCAAGAGGAAGGATGAAGGTGTGTCGCACCAAGAGGAAGGCGGAAGGTCTGCGGCGAGAAGCGGAAGGAGGAATTTGTGTTGTGATAAGAGGAAGAAGGAAGGTATGTGGTAACAAGACGAAGAAGGAAAAAGGAAGGAGGAAGGTGTGTTTTAAAAGAAAAAGGAAGGATGAAGGTGTGTTATAGGAAAAGGAAGGAGGAAGGTGTGTTTTAAAAGAAAAAGGAAGGAGGAAGGTGTATTTTAGCTTCCGCTTGTTACCGCATGCCTTGATCCTTCCTCATCCTTCCTCTTGTTACCAAACACCATCCTCCTTCCTTTTGACCTTTGACATCTTCCTTCTTCCTTCCCTTTACGTCAGAAAAGGAAGGAGGAAGAATGTAAAACGTCATCAATGGAAGGAGGAAGGTCTATCGTTTAAAACTATAGCACGAAGAGGGATATACAATCGGCACGAAGTCTTATACAATATCAGGTTAGTGAATATTTACTACTCGTATGACTACCATTTTATTGAACATCTAAGAAATGAAGAATCTGAATACATGTCTTTTTTTTTTCTTTTCTTTTTTTGTAAAACACCAACGTTTTGCTATAAAAGAAGTTTACAGCGGTTCCATAACGATTTTAAACAAGAAAATACTAATATTTTGCATATACTCCTTCTTATTCCCTCTAACCTAATATTAACTGTACTGTGATACTTTATGGTATATTTCGTCGAAATTCATTTATATATTCTTAAGAAAATAATATAAACCGTCATAAATGGAAGGAGGAAGGTCCATCGTTTAAAACTATAGCATGAAGTAGATATACAATCGGCACGAGGTCTTATACAATATCAGGTTAGTTAATATTTACTCCTCGTATGACTACCATTTTATTGAACAATTAAGAAATGAAGAATCTGATAACAAATTGTTCCTTCTTTCTCTTGTTGCTACACATTCCTTCTTATGTAAATATTATCGCTTCAACTGTCAGTTGAAGATGAGTGTACGGCACTGACTGGCTGTCAAGCCCTCGTACGGTCGGTATTTGTTTTCTTTACGCGTACTTTATACTTAATAATTAGTGGTATAAAATAAAATGATCTACTACTGTTTTACTACTTGTATGACTACCATTGTTGTCATTGAACACTTAAATAATGAATGTTTGAATTAATGCTTTATTTCTTTTGGGAAACACAAAACAAAATGCTATAAAAGAAGTGTGCATTGTGATGTAGACATTTTTGTACCCTATATTGAATAAGCGGAATGTATTCTTTTTTTATAAAAATAGTTGTTGACTATGCAAACATCAAATATTCATTGCCTTTTTTCTAAAAGACATTTTCAACGCATGTGATTTACTAAATGCACTGTAACAATGCATATGCAGAAGATTTTAAGAAAATCAGAATTTGGACTCTTATTGTTTTCTCTCGCCAAAACGATTTAGAGCTTTCAATTAGCAAAACCTCTAGCAAAATTAGATGATTTGCAAATATCATACCTGTCTGTTTGTCCGCCTATCAGATTTAGTAGACTTGTATACATATGTTTTCTTTATCAATAATTAGCAGGACTACAAATCCAATTTTACAGTTGAATTTTAACTATGACATGTATTAAATACTTCATGTTCAAATAACCGTATCTATGACATTATGTTTTACACTTATATTCCTTGTTTTTTTTCCAGAAATGGATAACTGGATGAAAATACAAATGACTCAAATGGTAAGTCGAAGGAGAGAATAAATCTGTAAAAATGATAAGAGTTATTCAGTAGTATGTACTCATTTGATATTGTGGACGCAAATGCAAACTATAATTTAATCATGGTAATAGAATATAAGATAAAATGACAAAATATAAGACAGTTGGATCATTTAAAGGCAGATAAACTGAAAGGAGAAATAAAAATAATAAGTACTGATTATATAACAAAATAATCGATCTTAGCGTGTTTTTTAGAAATATTTGACCTATAATGATTGGACAGAAATTTAATTCAGTAATGTGTTCACTTCGGCTACTTTCTGTACTAAATTGTAATCTGTATTGCTTGACACTTGGGTCTGTCCGTTCTGCTGAAAGTTTTTCTTAAAAAACAAATTAATTTGATTGGGGACTTTCCTTTTTGAATTTTCCATGGAGTTCAGTATTTTTGTGATTTTACTTTTTAATCTTTTAATGTAGGTATGCAACTTTATTTCCAGTTTTATTTTGATTATGAAATGCACATTACCACTTGTACAAGATACATATCATTCAAATCAAAATAAGATGAAATAACAAAATAAAACACAGTTTAATTACTTTCAGACAGATGAATTGAAGGCGGAAATAAGAAATGGGAACATGGAATTGAAAGCATTGTTTAACAGCTTTAAGGCGGATAAATTGAAAGCAGAAGTAACGAAAGGGAACATGGAATTGAAAGCAGAAGTAACGAAAGGGAACATGGAATTGAGAGCAATGATTACAGATCTTATAGACGGTAAATGTTTGTCTTTTTGTATCGCTAAACACAGTCACAACCGTATTCATTTCTTACCGTTTCGTTGGGAAATAGATCTGTGATAAAAATGTCGATATCAAGTTGTATAGAGAATCCACAACTCAACAGGCTATTGCTCAGAAGTTCACTGTTGTTAGAAATTAACAATATAATATAATTTGTTAATTGCTTATGTTGTTTATATCAAAGCTGTTTTCGTGTTTGATAATATTGCTTATGTTTTTAAACAGCAAATACTAAAAGTGAGAGCAGCGGGCAAAAAGACAGCACACAGAGGGCTGACACAACATCAGATGAGGATGAAGATAGTCAATATATGCATTACCAAAGAAACACTAAACACGAACACAGTGAGGATGATGATGATGACGAAGATAGCAGTGATCATAGGGATGTTCATGATGATGAAGCTAAGGATGATAGGATTGATAACGATGATGTAGAAATAGAAAAAGAACAGAAACAGACAGATGGATCAGGTAAAATAGATAGTATTATATTTATCTACCTTTCATTGCTAAACTCTATCGTTATTTCCAAGCAAATTGAGAATGGAAACGGCGTATGCGTCAATGAGTCAACAACCCGACCAAAGAGCAGTAACAGCCCAAGGCCAACTAGTGGACTTCCCCAAAGCGAGAAAATACAGCACTGGGAGGCAAGCTGTCCCATTAAACAAAAATGTGTCCTAGTTCAGTGAAAAAGGGCGTCACATTAAACTCCGAAACATATAGAAAGAAAAATCTGTAAAGGAAGGTTTGTAATCTTATATGTTCCCCATTAACTACTTATACTTACTATTACTAAAGATTTTCAAGCTTTCTAAAGAGAAATTAAGGTAATAATGACTTTAGAATTACAAAACATTTGATAAAACATATAACACATGATTTTGTTGAAGGAATCGAAGCAAAACATGTTTAATTTAAGACATTTAAAAACAATTGTACTGTTAAAAAATGCCTTGGAATTGCCATACAGAACCATCTCAAGACAGAAAAAACGAAAAACTGTACAGGAGTGTTGGTCTTGATATAACTAGCCGTTATTTATTTGTTCCATAGAGTTTTTTTTAAAATACGACCAAAAATGAACAATGAAACAAATAAGTTTGTAAACACGATCCAATATGAATGGAAATGTCGCACAAGGATCACAATCGTTCGCGGATTTTTACGTGAGTGCAAAATATGGTAAGAAAAAATAGGTAAATAAATCATCATTATTTTTTGTCAGACACTATGATTGTTAAAGGCGAGAAATGGTTTACCCCAAGAAGAACACCATCTC